AACCTGAGGGTTTTATTGACCCTAAGTACCCTAGACATGTCTGTCTACTTAGGAAGGCCCTCTATGGCCTGAAACAGTCTCCCAGACAATGGAATATCAAGTTTGACCAGTGTATGTCTTCCCTGAGTTTCAAAAGGTCTGATTCTGACCCTTGTTTGTATTTTAAGAATACTACTGCTGCTGTACCTGTTTTCTTGTTAATCTATGTTGATGACATGCTTATCATTAGCCCCTCTGTGAATGCTATTAAGATAGTTCAAAAGTGCCTTTGTGAAAACTTTGCTATGAAAGATCTTGGAGATGCTAAGAGAATCCTAGGGATTAATATTCTTAGGGATAGGAGTAGGTGTACCCTTACCCTGAACCAAACCTCCTATCTTGAAAAGGTCTTGAAAAAGTTCAAAATTGACTCTGCCCAACCTGTGAATGTTCCCTTAGCACCCCATTTTGTGCTAAGCAAGGATCAGTCCCCAAGGACTGCTCCTGAGATAGATAGGATGAAGGATGTACCCTATTCCAGTGCTATAGGGTCAGTCATGTATCTCATGGTAAGCACAAGGCCTGATATAGCTTATGCTGTTAGTTGCTTAAGTAGATATATGGCAAACCCTGGTATGTCTCACTGGACTGCCCTTAAATGGCTCCTTAGATACCTTAGGGGTACACCTTCTCATGGTCTTGTGTTTTCTAAAACTGAAACTGGCATTTTACTTACTGGCTATGTTGACTCCAATTATGCAAATGATAGGGACAATAGAAAGTCTACTACTTCCTACATTTTTACTCTTTGTGGTTCCTGCATAAGTTGGAAATCTCAACTTCAACCTATTGGTGCACTGTCCACTACTGAATCTGAATACGTGGCAGCCACTGAGGCCTTTAAAGAGGCTATTTGGCTTAAATGAATGCTAACTGAAATTGGTTTTCTTAAGCAGGTTGTGACAGTGTACTCTGATAGCCAGTCTGCTATCCAATTGTGCAAGAATCCTGTATTCCATGACAGGACCAAGCATATTGATGTCAGGTTTCATTTTATTAGGAATATTGTGGATGCAGGTTGGATAAAGCTGTCCAAGATACCTTCAGAATTTAACCCTGCAGATATGGGGACTAAATGTCTCAATTTTGAAAAACTTTTGTCTTGTAAACGAACTCTTAATTTAGACTGTGGCTAGATAAGAACATGTACAAAACCGGCGATGATGATACTCCCATTCACGTTGTGCTCTACACCATCAGGGGGACCAATAAGGTGGAGATTGTGAGTTGGTATTGGTCCACCTCACTGGCCCTTTGGTCCATCCCATTTAATGTCCTGTCTGCTATTCTTATCCTCCTGGCCCGTTTGGGCTGTCCGCCTGACTTAGCCCACATGCCCTCATTTGTCTTTGCTCAAGCCCATGTCTCTGTGGCCCTTACCTTATATTGTCCCGTTCCTTTTGGAATCCACTATTTGATCGTCCTCTTCCTCTCTCTATCCGAGGAGAAGTCTTTCCGGTTACCCCAGTTCTAGAGTGAGAGAGTGCTGGTATCATCTAGGGTTTGAGCTCCGGCTACCCTCCGGTGATACCTTTGGGATCCTTCTGTGGGCTTCACTCTGTGCTGGTAGTCTTGTGGGGGGTTTCTTCTCCGGTGGGTTTTCTCTGGGCAGTCTGGTTTGGGAGGGTTGGGCACTAAACTGAGCGTTTGAGACTAGATGCCCTCTGGTTTCCCTTGTTGACTCCTTGGTGGTGAATGGTGAGCTAGCCCTTGGGCTATGGTGATTGAGGTCTGAGCCGGTCCAGTAACTCTACAGAGACAACCAATTAAGGATGAGATTATTAGTTTCCATCTCTCTGGAAAATATGTATATACATCTATATATGAATAAAAGTGTTTGACAAGTATGTCACTTGTAGTTATTATGTCACTACTAATTCTTAACGTCATTGTGAGTGTCACCACCACCGTAAAAACCATCACTAGCAAATTACGATAACCCATCACACTGTCTGCGCTTCTTTGTTATGGAGCAGCAGTCAGTCCATGCAATTTTGGACGCGATTTTCACTATGGGTCATCTGGAAACAGTCTCTCTGTGCTTTAGTACAGGGGTAAGACTGCGTACATCCGACCCCCTCTTACCCCACCGTAGGTGGGAGCCTTTGCGGCACTGGGGTAAATGAAAATGACATAAACATTCTGTCCCTGAGCGGCGTCAGTTACTATGTAGCTACATTCAGGGGTGGACCTAGGAATGCCATCTTGGGGGGTGAAAATAGTTTTTGGGGGGTTCAAAATATTTTTTGGGAGGGAGAAGATTGTTTTTCATATATATACACTAAAAAAAATTCTTGTTGGGGGGCGGTAGCCCCCCTGGGTCTGTACTACGGTCCGCCCCTGGCTACATTTATCAACGAGCATTTCCTACAACTCTTTTTAAAAGATATTGATTTTTTTACTAGTGACAACGAGAGGGGTTTGGGTGTGGCAGCGTATATAGATTCATAAATGTACCTTTGATGATTAGTCACATAAAATTTGTATATTTGAAAATTGTAGAAATTATATACGCAGTTTTTTAAAAGATGACAACGATATTATAGATAAATATTGGTTCAGCATAATTGTGAATGAAATGCATTTATTAATGGTGGAAAAATGAATGAAGGGTTATGATCATATATAATTGGCACTACAGAAATTCATAAATTGTAATGAACGATAATAAAAGCAAGCCAACAATATTCAATAATTTAGAGCAATTATTTTGTATGAATAATGGTGCATAACATATACTTCATTCATTTTTTAATAGTTGCAACATTGTTATTTTTGCATTATTCACCAACTTTACTTTAACCATGATTTTTGACTAATATATATATAATCAAATTATTATGTACGAGTATAAAATGTTATTCGATTTCTATTAATAGTAAATCTAGTGATCATTATGATGTTCAATTTTACTTTGTACTTGCTATGAATGTATGCTCACAATAACTTTAGTTATATTTTTATCAATCCAGGACCTGAAAGATAGACGAATTATCAATCTGGGATCTGAAAGATGAAATGTATCAGTATAGAACCGAATGATAGAAAAATATCGATCTATGATCTGAATGATTGAAAATCTATAGATGTAGGACCTATGTTTTCATAAGTTTTATAATTTTTTATTATTTGAAAACTGTAAATAATACTCCCTCCATCACAAAATGATGGTCCTGTATTTTTTTTTGGAATGTCCCAAAATGATGGTCACCTTTACCTTTTTGGTAAATAAATAAAAGTGAATTACCATTTACATTCCTCTTTTTAATGAACAGTAAAAGTAAAAGGATGAACAGTACAATAAAGTAAGGTTCTTTAATCTTTCTACCATACTTTCTTAATCTTTGTGCCCAAAAGAAACAAGACTATCAATTTGGGACATAAGAAGTAATCAGTTTTATTAAACTGATAAACTTTTGTGAAGAAAAATTCACCAAATATTAAGAATGGAATTAATAAAAATTAAATAAAAAAAAAACCTGTGAAATGTTAGGACCTTGATAGATAGTTTTTCATAATTCAGGTCCTATACTAATACATTTCATCTTTCAGGTCCCAGATTGATAATTTGTCTATCTTTCAGGTCCCGAATTGATAAAATTCCTTTTTTTATTTGTAACTTTAAATTAAGTAATGGTAAAGGAAAAACATTTATATATTTGTTAAAGGAAACCAAAAACAAACAAGCAACAAAGTATCTTGTGTAACCCATATTTCCAACAGTTCGTATATAGTGCATCCGGGTGTACGTACACCCGGCCCAAGTAAGAAAGACAGCCCAACCACTAATACAGCCCAAAAAAAAATTGGTGGCATATTTGTAATTTAAGCGAAAATTCACGGCTTCCGTTAAATGAGCAACATTGTACGTTTAGTGAGCATCCAATCTATTTTATTGAGTATTAAGAGACTAACAATGAGTAACACGATCTCAACTTCATATCTTCTAATTTTTATTCTTTTTCTTATTTTTTCTTTTATAAAAACTTATTAAATTATATCTATAATACACTCTTATGAATTTCAATATGTGAATTTAGTGTAATATAATACTTTTGAAATATGCATTGATATGACATTTTAAAATGAGCATAACATCAATACGAAATGAGCATATGTAACTTACAAAATGTTAATTGATATGAAAGTCATAAAGTTTGTTAGTTTGACATAACGACATTTTCATTGAGCATCAAACCTTCTCTGTTGAGATAAAAATCGCAGTTTCTGTTAAATGAGCATCAATGAACTTTTAATGTGCATCAAACTTATTATGAGTATTAAAACACTTTCAATGAGCATAACACTTATTGAGTTGAGTATTAGGAACCATTTACAAAAGGAGTATCGAAAAATCCAAAATGTCATTTGAAATTGCTAATGTGCTCAAATCCTTATTTGTCTATACTCATTTCATTTAAACATTATGCTCATTTGGCACGTGAGAGCGATGTGGCAAGAGTTGGATTGATTTGTCAGGTCAATCTCAGCGTAATGTAGTCTATACAGAACATTAACGTTGTCCTATAGAATCTCTGCAACACCAGAGATGGAGTAAACGCAACGAACTTCTCGGAGAAGATGACTGGTGCTCGTTGGGGTGATCTTTTCCGGTGGGATTACTGCTGAAAGCGGAAGTGGGGGGCGGGTTGACGGTCGGAAGACTGGCCGGTTCCAGAACTCGCTGGTGGTGGCCGGTACAGGTGGGCGAACGAACTGGCTGGTGCAAAACGAGTAAGCGGCTGAAGAGAAAAGAAAAGAGAATGAACGAAAGATCCAGAAGAAAAGGTAAATGAGGAAAACGGCGGAAGAGCAAGGAGGGATGGAAAGAAGATCCAACGAGAAGGAAGAGGGATAGAACAAAGATTTAAAGTTTCTAATAATTACAAAATAACCGGATATAATTTGCCGATAACAATACATGAAAAGTTGAAAACTTGAATTATTACAAATGAATGAAAGAGTAATTAACTACGCATTACCGAATATTTAGAAAAAGAAAGTTTGGTTGAAATTAGTGCCAAGATTAACCTGGTTTAGATCGAGGTCTTCAAAATGCCGTCTTTTTAACACGCAATTGCAATCTCAGCTCAATTAGATTCGGGAAACATCTGTTTGAGCTCAAATGCAAGTTTGTTTGCGAATTACTGCGGATTGTAATATTATCGTGAGATTTTCTATTTCATCTGCCTTAGGTTTGATGTTCTGAGCTCTGTATAGAGCTTCAGATTATGAGTATACATTTTTCTTTTCCTTAAAAAAGGATGCCCGGAATACCATTAACGCCTCGCGGAGCTTCGTAAGCTCTTTTTCCGTTACTGTTATAATGATTATTACGGAGTATTTTATTATTTTTCTTTTTTCTCTGTGGTTAATTTTTGTTATTAAAGCTGGAACATTCATGTAATCATGTTTATGTTTAACCGTGATTATGTTATTAGGAACCATATTGCATTTATGCGGATGGAATGTGATTTTCGGCTAAATTTATGAGAGATGAGTTTTGTTTGCAATTGCAGTCACTCAAGAGCGGCTGATCAGATGTGCCGTCACGACTCCCACGGGCACTTGTCTGCAGAGGAGGAAATCGCAGCTGAAGAAAGTCTTACGATATACTGTAAACCTGTTGAACTGTACAACATTCTTCAACGTCGAGCTGCTAAAAATGTATGTTCTTTTCATAAATTAGGCATTTTTTCACCGGCCCATTTGCTGATAGCCTATGCTTGCTTACCTCCATGAACGTGGAAAGTTAGATTTTTTTTTATATTTGTTGGTTATAATATAGATCCAAAGTTTGTCAGAAGATTGTTATTGCTTACTATTGAATAGGAGTATGATTCATCATTCTAACTCAAGTGGGCTCTTATGCAGCCGTCTTTCCTACAAAGATGTTTGCGGTACAAACTCCAGGCAAAACATAAAAAAAGGTAACAGTATGTATCAGTTTAGATGGTAATGATGATGTAGTTTTTGAACTTATAATCCATCTCTGGGAATCAGAATCATTTCTGTAAGATTAGATGGTTTAAACCTTCATAACTGTAAAACTAGTACGTAGTATATCATATAAAACAAGTTACCAGCATCACCTATATATTTATTCTATCAGGCTAGAAGGTATGCTATGAAGAATAGACCGGGGTGTAGGTACAAATACAGGAACCACATTTTCTAAAATAAGAGACACACCTATGAAGTGGACACTAACTTACATACTGACGTACATGTATATAAAATGCTAATACTAATTACTATAATGGTAATACATAATCTGTAATTCTGTATGTCTTAGCTGCTTTTTTATTCGGAATAAGAGATTACTATATGAGAAATAAGGGAGAGGTAGATTTAGGGTTTTGTTTTTGACGCTTCAGTGCCATGTTTTAGGGTTACTCTTTAAAAAACCCATTGCTGACAAAAAGTAATGTGCAAAAGTGCCCCCCCCCCCGTGCCCACTGTGTCCCCATAGAGAAAAAGGGACAAGTTTTAGGTGTGTTCGGCTCACTCACTTCGCTTTTTGTAGAAGTGTACGGGCTTCGTAGGCTATGTTATCAACTCCGTGAGGATAAATTAGTAGAAGGAAAAATAAAGTATCATTTTTTCATATTTACTATGTAATGTAAGATTAGTACAAAACTACAAATTATATGGACTAATGGACTACAAAGTGCATTTTGTAGCGGTGCTATAGTACGTCCTATATGAAAGCAAAACACGCTTTTTAATATTTCATGTCATTCATAAATGTCAAGATGCATGATTACAAAACGAACATCCTATGGTAATTTATAATCAAACCACTATTTGATGTTAATGGGCTGATATTTTAGTGATATCTACATTCTTGTAATATAGACTACCATATCTTACTCTGGAACTTTTACTTGCATTTCTAGGATACAAATGACAATTTCTCTTCCCGCAACTTTAAATAGCGGTTCGCAAATTCAAAGTACGTTTCCTTTGTGTATATTGTTGGCTAGGCAAGTTCCAATTCCTGTAGCTTCTGAGGTATTTGCGCTCAACTATCAAACTGTATCTTATCAGTATTTAAAAAATATTGCCTCATTTAAATATGCAACTTGCTTGCAGTACTCTTCCGTCTATTGCTTTAAGCGCGCATGCATCTTATCCTCTTGCTCCGGAGTTGACAAGATGAATCAAGCATATGCAAAATTTGTTCTCCCTGAATTGAATAAGCTATCCGCAGAGATTGAGGCGGCCTCACTTGTAATTCTTTTTATTAGCTGTGGTATGCCATATATACACCTTTTTCCTGGCACTGATGACGTTTGGTGGAAGATTTAGGTATTTTTCTGTTGTTTCCCTTTTTGCAGCTGAGATTGCCAAGGACAATATGGATATGTCATATTTTCCATGTAAGTTGTCCACATGTTAACATAATCTTTCGGTTGTTGCATAAGTTGTAACGTTAGATTCAAATGATGATATTGGTGCTGATGATTAAGGTTTATATTACATTCAGCTTCTGAAAAAAATGCATCAAACATGCCTGTAGAAAGGAGAGGACTGTTTGCAACTTTCCAAGCTTAATCATTTAAGTTGTTTGAGCCTTGGACTTGATAAATGCCGACCCTCTCTTGAACTTTGCATTAATTTTTGCCTAATAATCTCTAAATTATTCCTTTAATTCCTCATGTGTTGGCAAATGTTGAAGGGCTTCATTTTTCCTTTCGTCAATTTTGCCTCATGTTTTTGTCCATCTCTCTAAGTTTTCGTACAATTCATTTCCCTAATTTAATTCCTCAAGGTGAAAGCAAATGTTGAAGGGAGCTTTATTCAGAACTCATTACCATTTACCACAAGCCATAACCACATTTTGCCTTAATGTTTTGTTTGAATGATCTTCTGAAGCTTTCTTCAATTTAATATCCCTAATTCAGTTGCTTATATTCTGATAGCCAATGTTGAGGGGCACTGCTTATTGAGTAGGATGTCTATGGAACTGCCTTATCTATCTTTGGAAAAGTCTTCAAACTTGGGTCTTGGAGAAAGAGCGGAGATGTTTTCAACTGTTGACTTGTGCCCCTGTTTCATGAAGGTAATTCTTCCTTACTGGATCTAAATATGTAATTTCTCTTTTAAATTCACTCCATTAGTTCACAAGTATTCTTGTTATTCTGCACATCATGAAACTGGAAATATTCAACGATGATTCGGTTTTAGGATTTTGGTCTCATGATTCCTTCTTAGGGAATGTTACAACGTGAAGGGCATTAGGTGTGCTTTAGTACAGGGGTAAGACTGCGTACATCTGACCTCCCCTTCCCCAACGTAGGTGAGAGCCTATGCGGCACTGGGGTAATGATGATGATGATGATGATGTAACTATATACATCATCATCATTTGTGGAAATTTAATGCCAACAACTCCGAGTAGTTTGGGTTAAGGTGTTGATGATGATGATGAATGTCTATATAAATCTCCCGGTGGTCATGTTTAAATGTACAAGCTGTTTCAAAAATTCATTTGTGGAAATTGTAAGATACTCCTAGTCCTGAAATCTGATCTGATTTGATTATTGCTCTGTTAGTCATGATTTGTTGGGAGGATATAGTTATCCTACGGAAAAATTTGATGACTAAGTCTTACCTTTTAAATAGGAATGGTGTAGAAGGGCTCTCTGCAATTTCTGTTTGCTTTATTAGCTTTCCTGCTAAGTATCCATCTTTTCTCGCTGTCCTCATGCTATGGAGGGAATTTGACAAAGTACAAGTTCTTTAATTTGTCATGATTCTTTTCTTGCAGTTAAGCTATCTGGACAAACATGGATGTGTCTCTTTTCAGTTTCCTCAATCACTTGGAGCTGCGGTACTTTCAATTTTATTATATATTCTGACAGTTTTGTCTTATGTAGACATCCCACTTTTTCCTTGTATATGTAACACATCTATGTATAATTATTCTCTTTTGGATTTCTTTTCTTATTTTGTTCCAAAGGATACATCACATGAGATTAAAGTCAGTGTTGCTGCAGAAGAAGTTGGCGCACAGGAGAGAACACCATATGATTCATACTCCTATAGTGAAGTTCCTAACTCATCCTTGCATCACGTTATGAGGTGAAATCTCCTTTTCATAACATACACTCATATTGTTTTATTGTGTGATACATATTACGCTAGCCTTTTACAAGTCTCATGAAATCACTGGTTGAAATTGTAGCAAATACGAAGTAGCTCTATTACTATGCATGATGAGGTCACTGATTTAAATGTCAGGAATTGTTTACCCATTGACTACATTACAGTTCAAGTTGAGTTCAACTTCTCACAAGTTGTAAAGTTTTTTTCTTATTTACACATGTATATGTACGGCTCTACTGCTTTAACCTATACACGGAGTATATGTTTCATACACTATTTTTAATTACATTTCTCTGTGTATACTCTGTCTCCTCTTTTGTGGAAAGTTGTTCTTTATCACACTTCTCTTCACTCATTGAAACTTTCTCTAGGCTTATATTTCTTATGATGAATACATAAGTCATTAATCATTTAGCTTTTTGTTGTAATCCCCAGGCTTAGGACTGGAAATGTTGTTTTCAACTATAGGTACTATAACAATAAGTGCCTGCGAACTGAAGGTAAATGATTATCTCTTGAGAGTAAACTATCATGTCTTGAGCTCGGGTTTACTATATCATATTCTCTGGTAATCTTATGGTAATAGACTATTTTGTTAGGTACATGGGTCTAGTCTCCCACAGCCCCTTTTGCTATAGAATTGATTTTCATGGTTGTCTAGATGCACATGAGTTTTTGTTTATTTGTGTTTAATACACATGGAGTTTCATTCAACTAAACATTCATTTTAACAATATACAACAAATATGTCATTCAAAATATTGACTTCATTTCTATGGAACTTGACAGTGACAGAAGACTTCACGTGTCCTTTCTGCTTGGTAAAATGTGCAAGCTATAAGGTGAAAGATGTCATTAGTTGTTACTAGTCATGTGTTCTTTAATGAATTCGTTCTATTTTTACTGTTTGTTCTTACAGGGACTTCCCTTTTATATTTTAGGGCCTGAGATATCACTTATCATCTTGTCATGATCTATTCAATTTTGAATTTTGGGTGGGTAAAATTCAGTGGTCCATCACATTTTGTTGTTATTCTCTCTCCCTTGAGCTCTGTAAAATTAATTTCATTGTAATTTGTAGGTTACTGAAGAATATCAGGCTGTAAATGTATCTGTTAAAACTGATGTATGGAGATCTGAGGTGAGCAAACTGGCTCTCTGCCAGAGTTAACCGTAGAATGTCAGTATGTAAATATGGGAGTTCCCAACTTGTCTATGCTTCATTTGTCAACTCGAACTGTTTTTTCTTTTTATTAAAAGAAACATATCTGCCTAATTTTATAAAACGTGACATGGTGAAATAGTTTTAATATGTTCTTGTACTTGATTGCTATTTAATTCATATATTGGTACTTGGTAGATGTGAAGTTTTAGTGGTGCCTTTGTGGACTTTGTGAATGATTGATCCTTGTTTCACTAATGTGTCTCAGATCATTGCTAATGGTGTTGATCCTAAGCAGCAAACATTTTTCTATTGGTATGTAACCATTTCATGCGTTAACTTGTATTGATTATTATTTGAGGTTGTCGAGTGCTCAAAGTTTGTGAATTTCTACACACACTTCATGTGCAGTTCAAAGCCCTTAAGACGCAGAAAATCACAAAATGTTCAGAATGGAAAGCATGTACATCCACTGGCCTTTGATTCAGAATCTCCCCCAGCAATAAATGATCACCAGACCACGAAGGATGGAATGAACAATCTAGGTATGTAAAGTAGACATCCTAATAGTAAAGGACTCCACAGGGCTACATTTGAAACCTAGAAAATGCCAGGGAAAGGAAAGAAATTGCTAAGGAAAGTTGTTTTCTTATGTTTGGATTTGCCACGGATAATGCAAAAGAAAATGAAATATGTTTATATTTTTTAATTTTTTATATGTTTAGATTTCTTAATACGGAGTATTTAATTTGAAAAGAACGACATAAGTATTACCTCTACACTTCTCGAAGACAAAAATATGACTAGTTCCCCCCCAATGTGACTAGTTTCTTTTTCTCTCTCAAAATTCTGACTAACCTTTATTTAGTTAATTTAAATTTCCTTCTAATCCATTTCATCCACCCAACTCTGATTCTATGGCATACATCTCCATCTAATTCACCATCCTTCTGAATTATGGAACCCAAGTAACGGAACATATTATACACCGGTATCTCCTTACCATCAAGAGTAATCCCATTGTTGCTACTATTTCTACCTCCACAAAACTTGCACTCCATATACTCAGTCTTGCTTCGGCTCATTCTGAAACCCTTGGTCTCCAATGTTTGTCGCCATACTTCCAACTTTGCTTTAACATCAGATTGTGTCTCATCAATCAATACAATATCGTCGTCAAACATCATGCACCACGGTATATCTTCTTGGATTGACCTCGTAAGTTCATCCATGACTATGGCAAATAAGAATGGACTCAGAGCCGATCCTTGGTGCACTCTGATAGTAATAGGGAACTCTTCAGTCCTCCCTACACTAGTGCGGACACTTGTAGTACAAGCATCATACATATCCATGATGATACTGATATACTTACATGATATGCCTTTTCTAGTTAAGGCCCACCACAGGACTTCTCGAGGTACCCTATCATATGCCTTTTCTAAGTCAATGAACACCAAATGCAGATCCTTTTTAGTGTCTCTATATTTCTCCATAATTTGTCTAAGAAGGTGAATGGCCTCAGTTGTTGAGCGTCCAGGCATAAAATCAAATTGATTCTCCGAAATTTTCACACTTTTACGAAGTCTTTGCTCAACCACTCGCTCCCAAAGTTTCATGGTGTGACTCATAAACTTAATCCCTCGATAGTTAGCACATTCTTGTACATCACCCTTATTTTTAAATAAGGGAATGCGAGTACTCTTCCGCCAACTCACTGGCATTTTGTTGTTTCTCCAAATCATGTTGAAGAAACGTGTTAGCCACTCGATGCCTTTCTCTCCCAAACTTCTCCAAGCCTCGATCGGTATGCCATCTGGGCCCACTGCTTTCTTCCGCCCCATTTTTCTCATAGCCTCCTTAACTTCTGTTGTTTGAATCCTTCTCACGAAGTCTCGATTTACCATACATTCTGGTATAGTAAGATCATCAATACCTTGCATTTTATTCCCGTTGAACAAGGTATCAAAGTATGACCTTCACCTCTCTTTAATTTCTTTGTCCTCCATTAGTACCTTTTGATCGACATCCTTCACACACTTAACTTTTTCGATATCCTGAGTCCTACGATCACGAAGGCGAGCAAGTCTGTATATATCTTTTTCTCCTTCTTTAGAGTCCAACTTTACATATAATTCCTTGTTCACTTTTCCTCTGGCTTCCTTCACAGCTTTCTTTGCTCTTCTACGAGCCTCCTTGTACTCCTTTATGTTCTCGCCGCTCCAACTTTTGCCCAATTTCTTATAGCATTCCCTTTTGATCCTTATTGCTTGTTTCACCTCATCATTCCACCAAGACGTGTCTTTTTTGGTGGCAGACATCCTTTAGATTCTCCGAGTATCTCCTTCGCCAATTTGTTAATGGTGGACTCCATTGATAACCACACATCATCCACATGTGCGTCATTATCAATAGACCATACATCTTCCTCCAACATTTTGTGTGCAAAACTTTGTTGGAGATTCCCCTAAAGCTTACACCATTTTATCTTTGGCTCCCCTTGTACCTTAACCCGTCTCCTCTTTTTACCTTGAAAATCAAGCACAAGCATCCTATGCTGAGTGACAACACTCTCACCTGAGAATCTTGGGATAACCTTACTATCAGTGCAGCTAGTTCTCCAAGTCATCCGTACTAAAAAGTAGTCAATTTGGGTACTATTAGCTCCACTTCTATAGGTGACAAGGTGAGAGTCTCTTTTCTTGAACCAAGTGTTCATCACAGCCAACTCATATGTTGAGGCAAAATCCAAAATGTTCTTCATCGCTTCATTTCTAGTGCCAAAGCCATGTCCGCCATGGATACTCTCAAAACCATCCCGATTTGGGCCCACATGCCCGTTGAGGTCGCCTCCTATTACCAGCTTCTCTCCCCTTGGCACTCGTCGCACCACTTCCTCAAGATCCTCTCAAAATTGTTGAGTGATAGATGCATCCAACCCCACTTGTTGTGCATAGGCACTTACCACGGACACGATCTCATCTCTTATTATCAACTCAATGCTCATGATGCGACATTTCTTCCTAAAGACTTCAACCACACCCTCAACATAGTCATGTGCCACCATAATGCCTACTCCATTTCTGTTCCTCTCTCCCCGAGTACCACAACTTAAAACCTTCGGGATTTATCTCACGTGCCTTTTCTCCAACCCACTTAGTTTCTTGCATGCACATTATGCCGATATTCCTCCTCTTCATAACCTTAGCTATCTCAGATGATCTTCCCGTAAGAGAGCCAACATTCCATGTCCCAAAACGCAATCTAACACCCTGCCTTCTCTTCTTCACACCACATCGACCCCCACCATGCTCTTGCATATTTGACACCATCCCCGGGCATTGAAGTCGTGCGTCGCTTCTGGGCGACGACCTAGCAGCCTTAGCATTCTTATCACCACACCCAGACCTATGAAGTGTAGCGCGCCCTTGCTCATTTGACACCACCCCCAGGCGGAGGGATGACGCGTCGCTTACGGGCGACGACCTAGTTGTAGCGATATTCATATTTCGATTCATGTCATGTGATGTGACTAAGTGATACCGTTGGCTGTCACACGCCTACCACAACACCCTCCTCCTTTATCCTGGCTTGGGACAGGCATGATAGCAAAAAATGATCTCATGGCGGAGTTGGCTTCAATATAGTTATTGGTCAAGGAAAATTCCCCAATACTTCCTTCGTTCTTTAATAGTTGCAACGTTGTGGTTTTTGCACTATTCACACACCTTGCTTTGACCATGATTTTCTACTAATATATATAAACAAATTATTATGTATAAAATGTGATTAAATTTCTATTAATGTGAATTTCCAAAATATTAACTTTCTATAATGTTTACTAATACGTATTTAATTATAATTACAATCAAAATTGTATATTGGCAAACATGAAAGTCAAACTGTTGCAACTATTAAAGAACGGAGGATAGGAGGATAGTATTTAAAATTAATGTGTATAAATCAATAAAAACAAGTTCTGCGTTTCCTCCCTATTTTCTATACCTAGCTTTCCACCCATTCCATACGGACTGGAATTAAACTTCATTACTCTTGCACTGTTTGATCATCCTCGTATTTTAGTTGTCCCCATACTTGAATTATGCCATTCTTTTGAGTCATTATGTTTATTCTATCTTCTTATGGATGACTTGCATCAATCTATAAGTGTCTAAGATCTGTTATTAGCCCTGAATTCCCCCCTCCCCCTTGTAGAGTTGTAGTTGGAGTTTTATGTCTTAAAACCAATTTGCTTCTTTTCTCGGGTTGAAGAACTACTTTAGCAAGCTTTACTTACAATTTTTGTGAAAGGTGCACCATGCTCTTTTCCTTTAAGCTGGTAATAATTTTAGAAAGTTTTACCAGATACAGTCATTTGTGATGCATCAAGTCCCAATGCTACTGGTGTATCATTAGCTACAGAACATCAAAATCCAGATCCAGATTGTACACAATCCTTGCCTATAAGCAGTTTAGCACCACCTGCAATGCTTCAGTTCGCAAAGACCAGGAAGTTATCAGTGGAGCGTTCTGATCCAAGAAAGTATGTGTGCTGGTTCAATGATATACACTCCCTCCGTCACATAATTTTCTTCCCACCTTCCTTTTTGGCATATCTAAAAGTTTTCTTCCCATTTCCTTTTAAGGAATTCTGTGTGTAGTTTAACACTCTTTCTCTTTTTTCTACATCAACTATAGCATTACATTTCCAGTTTTCCACTTGATTAATATGCGTGCCATTTCAAAGTAGGAAAAAAAAAATCTGGGACAGAGGTAGTATTTCATAATGCTACTTTCAATTGGTCATTTTTTTTACAAAACTGGCCACAATTATGTCACATGTTTTTTCTTGATGCTGAAGATTTGAGGAGCTTGTTCATGCACTAATATACTCTAAGATGTTGTTAAGCATTAAAATGTTTATCACTTGAGCTTTGCTTCTATGTGCCTGTGAGTTTACACAGTAATTTTGAGCGGTGTTTTGATCTACTAGAGCTGGCAACTAACTGCATGGCTTATATCCTTCTTTGCCATGATCTTCAATTATGCTTCATTGTTGCATGATGCCTGATTTTTGGGTTCTTTGGTTTGTCTTTCCCACAGTCGCACACTTCTACAGAAGAGACAATTCTTTCACTCACACCGAGCCCAGGTGACAATTGAACTGTACATATTGCGGTGATTTTTAAACTTATTTATCGTAATCATTTTGTCCTTTCCAAGGACAATTACAATGAGTTTGATCTATTATTAAGAAACTTAAACTCTTAAAGTATAGGCTTTGCATATTCATGCTTATCAGCAGTGATGATTTGCTTGTTTGGGATCAAATCCAACTTGATGTACTAAAATATTTCTGTCTCTCTTTTTCCAATGTGGGAAGCCTATGGAAATGGAACAAGTTTTATCAGATCAGGATAGTGAGGATGAAGTTGATGATGATGTTGCAGATCTTGAAGACCGACGGGTATGCCATACATTATGTCATAGCTGTCAAAGCTGTGACTAGTGCTATCTGTACTATTCATGAGTATTGATCTGGTCAAATAGGAGCTATTTTACTATTCTAGATTTCTAATTTCGTGATTGATTATGGAAATTAATAGTATGCCTTTCTAATTTCTAAAGTAAGCGCATCACACTTGGCGATTCCCTAATTGTCCCGAGCTGAAATGTTTTTTTCAGGCCTTGCATCTCTGACCCCACTAGTTGCGAGATTCCTGACTTATCTTCCTTTTGCATATGATTCTTTGAAGACCTGTTTGGAACCTGGAAATGCCAGGAAAAGGGATAAAAATGCCTAGGAAAGTTATTTTGTTGTGGTTACAGGAAAAGGGATAAAAATGCCAGGAACCTAGGGTTACTGCCTAGGAAATGAAAAGAAAATATAATTCGAGTAATGTTTTTATATTTGCTTACATATGTTAAGGCTTCACAGTCTATATATAATAGAAATAAAGGTATAAACAAATAAAGTGAGTTTGAGCAAATTTCATTTTTTTTTTCATTTTCATTTACCCCAGTGCCGCAAAGGCTCCCACCTACAGTGGGGTAAGGGGGGGTTGGATGTACGCAGTCTTACCCCTGTACTAAAGCACAGAGAGACTGTTTCCGGATGACCCATAGTGAAAATCCCGTCCAAAATTGCATGGACTGACTGCTGCTTCATGACAAAGAAGCAGCAAACAGTTTAGTGAGCCATTTTGCTTTATTCCATCATTAGCTCAAGCCAAAAAATAATGAATCTTTGGCAAATATAAAAAAATAATTTAATGAGTTTGAAGTTTGTACCACTTATATCCCCTCCACACTCCCACAGTTTCTTTCCTTCAAAAGTTCTCCAAATCACTCCTTTTTATTCTCTTTCCTTAGCAATTTCAAGTTCCTAATGGAGCCTAAAAGTGTGTTTAAATTCTTTGCATTACCATTTGATGTATCGATGATAATGCAGATGCTTGACGACTTCGTTGATGTTACCAAAGACGAGAAGCAAATGATGCATCTCTGGAATTCATTTGTGAGAAAACAAAGGTCAGAACTTCCTGCTGCCTTGAGCTTGTCATAAGAAGGCATTTGTCTACACAAACATATTTAATGGTGTCTTGTCATGTCCAACATTTATTATGCCAGTACTATACTGTCTCACATTGTGTTCAATGCATGGAAGAACTAGTGCTGTCATTCCCTTGTAAACTGCTTTCAAAACGAGAAATTTCCATCATTTTCCTCTTTGAGGATAATGGGGCTCAGCGCTTATGTGGAGCCAGGCATATAGGTGTGATTGGGTGGGATCAATTCTGCATTCTTAAACATTTGTAGGCAGCCTACGAAAGCGTAGAAATAGGCTAGATGTGTCATTCTGCATTGGGGTGGGGGTGAGGCCATCCAGCCATGTATATATGCTAGAAGGGGCCTTTTGGCCGTTTGGGAGGTGGCGGGGGGCGGGGGAGGGGGGGGGGGGGGAGGGGCAGCACGATAGAGGAACAATATGATTACACAGGTTACAATGCTAGATAATTTGTAGCTCAATAGTTTTCTTCTTTTCTTGAGGGTTATAGCACCCAACTATTTTGAGATTTGGACTCAAATGGTCTATACATGATATAAAGCTAACAAAAAGATTAGGGGTGGGCATATTGGTTTGGTTTAACCGAACTGTAGCAAACCAAACTAAACTAAACCGAAACCGGATCATACGCAATTCGGGTTGAGTTTGGTAGTATTTCTTCCAAACCGAAACCGATTAAAACCGATAAAAACCGAACTAAAGAAATTCAATAAAACCTTCATATATTTTTTAAAAATAAAAAATCCTACCCGAACTAAACCAAACCGAACCAAACCTGAAAATAGTATGGTTTTTGTTTGGTTATAATTCTTCCAACCCGTTCCAAACCGAACCGAAACTGATAAAAATCAAACCGAAAACCGATATGCCCACCCCCCAAAAAGACCATGATTATAATAATAATTATTATTATTATTATAATGATCATGATTATGATTATTATTATCACTATTATTATTTGATATACCTGTGCAGGGTGCTTGCAGATGGGCATATTCCATGGGCATGTGAGGCCTTCTCAAAGCTACATGGCCAAGATTTTTTCCGGACTCCTGCACTGCTTTGGTACCCACCCCCAAATTTCCAGCAAATTCCCCCTTTTCTGTGTTTTTTTCCCTTGTGAAAACTTTCGTTGGTGGTGACTTCTTCTATAAGTACTGAATATGATGAGATGTATGTGTATTATTTAATTCAGGTGCTGGAGATTATTCATGATAAAACTATGGAATCATGGTCTTCTTGATGCTCGTGCCATGAACAACTGTAACATGATTCTTGAACAATTTCAAAACCAAGAGGGTGACAAACCAATAACCTAACCATGCGTTTCTGTTAGTTCTTTTGATTTTTGGGGACGGACTGCTTGTGATCAAGTTCCAGTCCCAAGACTTCCGACCAACACACACATATGCTGTTCTGCTATTGCAAGTTTTGGGCTGTTGGCAATCCATCTTGTAGTGTCCTTTCCAGTCTTAAAGATGAGTGGAGTGCCCCGTTCGGTAGTTTTTTTCCCATGTATGCTTTGATCATAGTACAGTAAACATATTCAAGCATCCTAATTGTAAAAAAGTATGTCGAGTCTTCACTTGACCATTTGTAATTAGAATTATCCAAAACTCCAAAGACATTCAACAGATGTTCATGCAAGGAAACTTCACCAGTGCACCACCCTCTTCTGGTTAAGTGTCACATTTTCAAACAATGAAACAAGTATAAAACTTCATGTTTTATTAACTTTGGTAAAAAGGGTAAATGTGGAATAAATTTGATTATTGGTTTATGAAATTTCTAATGAGCATTATCTTGGAGTAGTTCTTATGTTAGATTAGGCTCAAACATAAACAGATTACTCTTAAAGAGTGTAGGCTAGATTAGAAATTTAGAATATTAGATGTATTAGACCAGACTTGTAAAAGATGCTGGAATTACAATTAAATTAAAACATAGTTAAATACATAAGACTAGTAAAGTTCAGTTCAACGGAATATGGTTCATTCATACACAAAACTATACATTATTGGGATTTGGGATACCTGTTATTATTAATAGAGAAAACAAATTCTAAAACAAAAGTAGGGATGGATTTGGTTCGGGCCACCCGGCCCGTGACCCGGCCCGTGACCCGGCCCGGCCCGGTACTGTGCGGGCCCGGGACCGGCCCGGTCGGGCGGTCCGGGACCGGGTATGGACCCGAACCGGTGGGAAGGGGCGGGGCGGGCTCGGTGCTGGATTATTGTGACCCGGCCCGGCCGGGTCGGGCCCGGGCCCGGGTCCGGGTCTAATTTTAATTTTTTTTTTGGTTTGGGCTACTAGCCGTTGGGGGTGGGGCTGGGGACAACCCAAACGGCTATATAGCCGTTGGGTGGGGTAAAGGGGGGGTACGGGGGGTTGGCTGGTGGGGGGGTGGTGGGGGGGGGGGGGTGAGGGGTAAAAAAACCTATAAATACTCCTAATCTTAAACATTTTTTCATCTCTTCTCCAATTCTTCCTAAATCCTATTCTTAACTCTCTACTCTCTAATTCTCTTATTCTCCAATATATTATATTTATTATTTATATATCTACTTTATAGTTTATACTTAAGAAGTTAAGATGGAAAATCAAGATGCCATTATACGGTATAATTTTAATAAGCAGAAGGACCCGAAGACCGGGATGTGGTACGCAATTTGCAAATGGTGCGAGAAAAAATGTAGCATGGGGGTTTCAGGCGGGTTCGGGATGGCAATCAAACATATGAAGTCATGTGACAAAGCCAAAGGATCGGGAGGTGCGGGAAGTTCCGATTGATTACAATTTTCAAAATGTTTTATCTCTTAAAGTTTGTTTTAATTTTCAAATGTAGTTCCTATTTTATTTCAAATAAATGCAATTGAAGTTTGTTTTTAATACTCGTATAAAACTATAAACTATAAAATATAAATTATATATAAAAAAAATTTAACCGGCCCGGCCCGAACCGGACCCGACCCGTGACCCGGGCGGGTGGCCCGGCCCGAACCGGACCCGTCCAACCCTCGGGCCGGTCCCGGGCCCATGTCATACTACCCAGCGGCCCGACCGGGCCTAGGCCCGGCCCGGGCCCGACCCAGGCCCGACCCGGCCCGAGTCCATCAATAAACAAAAGTAGGGAGGTGAACTGTGAATACAACAAAATAACCAAAACCTCTTTAATGTATATGATTATATGAAGGTGAAATTAATGAGTTATTCCCATTTCATTTATATAAATGTCCATCAACATTCAAGTATTCAACAGCCTTTAAAAAAAATGTCTATCAACATGATCTATTCTTCATCGTGTGTTTTAATCTCAAAACTCTCATTGCCACTTGGTAAACATCTAATTTTTTTTCTTATGACGACCACGAAAAAATAATGAGGTTAAATCTAAACGTTGGTAAAAAGTTCACTTATGTTGAAAGATTATAGTGAGATGCAAACTAGGAGAGGGACATAATATAACAATTTCAATTTTCGAATAGATACATACAAGTGGGACAAATTTAAGTGGATCACATCCTAAACTTAAGATCTTGTGAGGTTTTGAGTTCAAGTCATCAAAAAGTTGATATAGGAGGCTTTTCCCAAACGGTGACCTTCTAGCCACTGGGGCTTGTTCAAGTGATCGCTCAATTAGTGTTTCGTCTCGTCTCGTCTAGTGTTAGCCATTGGGTATATAATCTTCTTTCAGTTCTCAGTATTACTCGTTAAGCGTATCTTTGACTGTCAAAAAAGAAAAGGATATAAATGCAATGAAATGTAAGAAGTTTAGCTAAGTTCTTAGGCTTAGTGAGAACCCAAAATGAAATGTCACGGAAAGTATCAACAAAACAACTCCGACCCTTCTAGAAGTTTTAATAACCGAGAACAGTATTACTACACCTGCAGTATTACTCCGACCCTTTACGTGTAAATATATGTAACTCGCGTTCAGGCATGTCAAATGCAACTCGTGTGTATATATATGTAATTCGCTTATAAAAAGATGTAACTTACTTATAAAAAGATGTAACTCGCTTATAAAAAGATGTAACTTGCTTATAAAAAGATGTAACTCCCTTATAAAAAGATTAACTCAATGTATTATCAAATGTAGCTGGGGCCACTGATACACTCCCAAAAAGATTAGATCTTCTATTTCACAAACCTATCGTCTCCCAAACAAATTTGATTTTCCTTATAATCCAATACTCATTAATATAATAGTTCGATAATTTCTTAAAATTACATAAGCAATATTGGTCTCATTTGAAAGATAATGAAAAATAAAAATGTTGATATAAATTTTATAAAAATTAGATCAAAAATAAAAAAGTTATTATCATTTTTTAAGCAGAAAAAAAAAAATAACAGCTGCGGTCCTTTTGCAACAGGCGCCAGTTGCACCTTATAATTTGGGCTGGTATCTCAAACTGAGAAGAAGCCTAATTTAAAGTCTAAACAGTAAACTCCAAACTTGCATGTGTTTGCAGTTAGAATGCGGTACTGTAATAGAACTGGGACTGAAAGTCTGAACTCTGAAATCCAACGGCGTCCGCTCTTGTAGTAAAAGCTATAGTTATTATATCTCTTCGTCGAATTTCAAATGCTTTCAAAGACCAGGATTTTGGTGAACTCATCGCCTTGCTATTTTGCATTACTTCAGAAACTTCACTGTCATCAGCACTCGCTAGCTTCCAACCCGGCGCCAAATTATGCGGAGCTTTTAAATTCCTGCATCGCTGGGAAGGCGATTGAGCGAGGCAGGCAGCTACACGCTCGTCTGTGCCTTACTGGGCTTGGCTACAACACCTTCTTGGCCACGAAACTAGTCAATCTTTACTGTGTTTGTGACCATGTAAGTGTTGCACACCAACTGTTTGATAAAATCTCCAAAGGTAATCTCTTTCTCTGGAACGTTTTGATTCGTGGGTACGCGTGGAATGGTCCTTATGAGGTTGCCATATCTTTATATTTCCAGCTGCTCAAGCACGGCCATGTTCCCGATAACTTTACATTTCCTTTCGTGCTGAAGGCGTGCTCAGCCCTCTCTGGTATTGATGTCGGGAGGGACATTCATGGGCAAGTGGTGAGCACCGGGTGGGAAAGAGATGTTTTTGTTAGTGCCGCCCTCATTGACATGTATGCAAAAAGTGGTTGTGTTGAGAGTTCAAGAAAAACATTTGATAATGTTGTTCAGAGGGATGTTGTCGTTTGGAACTCAATGCTCGCTGCTTATTCCCAGAATGGGTGTCCGGATGAGTGCCTATCTTTATGCAGTGAGATGGCTTATTCTGGCGTTGGGCCAACTGATGCCACTTTAGTGACTTCCATTTCGGCCGCTGCGGACATAGCTGCACTTCAACAAGGGAGGGAGCTTCATGCCTACAGCTTCAGACATGGCTATTGCTCTCAGGACAAGGTGATGACTGCTCTTGTGGATATGTATGCCAAGAGTGGTCACGTGAAGCTTGCTAGGATGTTATTTGAAGCACTTTCAGAGAAAAGGGTCGTTTCTTGGAATGCTATGATCACTGGATATTCAATGCATGGCCATGCTAATGCAGCGCTTCATATGTTTAATTGGATGATTCGTGGAGCCTGCCCAGACCACATTACTTTTGTCGGAGTTTTATCGGCTTGTAAGCATGGAGGGATGCTGGATGAGGCGAAGATGTATTTTGAACAGATGACCGGGATTTATGGTATTGAACCATCTGTTCAGCATTATACTTGCATGGTTGATCTCCTTGGTCACCGTGGACGGCTGGATGAAGCTTATGGACTTATAACACAGATGAAAGTCGTCCCAGATTCTGGTGTGTGGGGCGCATTGCTTAATTCGTGCAAAATTCAAGGAAATGTGGAGTTAGCAGAACTCGCTTTGGAGAAGTTAATCGAGCTGGAACCAAACGATGCGGGAAATTACGTGATATTATCAAACATGTATGCCCAAGCAGGCAGGTGGGAGGGAGTTGCTAAGCTAAGAAAACTAATGACTGACAAAGGATTAAAGAAAAGCACTGCTTGTAGCTGGATTGAAGTTAAAAGTAAAGTACACGCTTTTCTCTCTGGAGATACATCACATCCATTGTCCAATGAAATTTATGAAGAGCTAAAAAGTTTGGAAGCAAGGATGGTGCAGGCTGGTTATAATCCAAATACTTCAGCTGTTTTTCATGATGTGGATGACGATGAAAAGACTAGAATGCTTTCCTGCCACAGTGAAAGGCTAGCAATTGTGTTTGGGATTATTAGTACACCACCGGGGACCAATCTCTTGATCACTAAGAACCTACGGATTTGTGAAGATTGCCATGTTGCAATTAAATTTATATCGAAAATCACAGATAGACAGATTACTATCAGAGATGTGAACCGCTATCATCATTTCAAAGATGGCATCTGTTCTTGTGGTGATTACTGGTAACCTGAGGATCAAGAAAATAAGAGTTTGGAATTAATTGCTCCATGAGAAATGTAAGTAAACTTAGATACTACCTCCATCTCACTAACATTCAAACATGAGAAAGTGGTGCGATTATTAAGAACTATGGGTTTCTGTGGTTGATATTGAATTGATGAAATAAGAATGATTTAGAAGCATACAAACTTTACCAAATTTGGTATAAGACAATTTTAGCGGGACCAAAATAATGAAGGAGTAAAATAATGAAACACTAATTCATAAGTGTACACTTGAAATTCTGGATTCCCAACTAATCATGATTTTTTGTATTGATTGTAGTAGCCACATGGTTGTGTTAAAATTATGCTACGTAGTAAGCCACTGTGTTTCTATTACGGAGTATTTTTTTAAAACAATTTTTTGAGTTAGTTGATCTCCCTATGGATGGCTAAGTTGCCCAGATTTTCAAAGATTGCTATCACTGCTTCAAACTAATGAACTCTTTCATAATATATTGGATGGTGGGGTTGCCTTTTTTCTATTTTCAGCTTTTCCAAGTCTCATAACTGCTTTAAAGTTAAGAGGTCATAAATCATCTACATGATGTTGGGGTTGTCTTTTTCTATTTCCACATATTTTGAGTGGCTTTAACAAGAAAGTCAACTGAAAGGATGTTTGTTAATCCATGGCAGCTCAGCTATTGACATGATCGGATTATCCAGCTGGAGTGATTTTACTCCTCAAATAATATTTTTTGTTCGAACCTTACACATGAAATATCCTAGAAATTGTGGGCCACATTTGGGCAAACTGAATTACTGATATGATCAATTCAGACTGCCAAGACTGGTTGGTAGCACCTAATAAGTCATAAGCTTTACTATCCATTACTTAACTACTCAAGACCCCTGTTGCCTTTTCTCCTTCATAAATCCATTTAAAAAAGAATAAAAATTATTATGGCAGTGGGAATATCCATACCTAATGAACTCGGCCATTATAATGGCAGCATAACTTCATTTGTCGTGTTATCCTGTATGATGGCTGCCATGAGAGGTGTTATCTTTGGTTATGATATTGGAATCTCAGGTTCAGTGTGCTGCACACATTTTAACATTTATTTGTCTTACTCAAGTTCTTGAATAGATAGTTAATTAATGCCAACAGTACATAACTAATCATGCCACAAAGCTATTAGCTAGGCTAATGATATACCATTAGATGTTGTGAGTTATTTTTGCCTAAAAAGATTTGACGTTTATGAGAATCTGCACTTTATTAAGGTGGAGTGACCTCAATGGAACCCTTTCAGAAAAAGTTCTTCTGCGATGTGTATACTAAGATGAAGAAAAACACTGAGGTCAGTAACTACTGCAAATTTGACAGTCAACTCTTGACGGCTTTCTCATCCTCACTGTATGTAGCTGGTCTATTTGCTTCCTTGTTGGCGTCATTGGTAACCGGCGCCTTCGGACGAACACCATCAATCCTAATCGGTATGTTCGGATCCCATAAAATACTATGGAAAGGAAAAAATATAAGGAAACTTTTTTCTGATGTTTGGTTTTGCATTGAAGAATGCATAGAAAAATGAAATATAATTAGTTGTTTGGTTTGCTTACATATATTTGCATATTTTAGTCATTATATAATACACATAGACCGAAAATTAGGACTGAGCACGGATCTAGGAATTCCCGTTCCGTACCGAAGAACCGTCCCGAACCGTTCGAGTACCGATAGAACTGGAAAAATGTAATACCGTACCGTACCGAGCTTTTTTAATAATATGGTACTTGGTACGGTACCGGTTCTTAGTGAAAACCGTACCGGAACCATCCCGGAACCTTACCAAACCGGACCGTCTCGTACCGTCCCGAATTGTCCCGAAAACTAGTGTTATAATATAATAATATATTATATATAACATGCTTGTCACGGCGTCTACTAGGCGTCGCCTAGGCGCCGACTTGGCGTCCTGGCTATGGAGAAGGGTCGACTTGGGAGATCGACTCGCCAGAAGAAGATAAGTCGCTCCTGTCGTCGTCCAGGCGCACGCCAAGGGAGATTAGAATCTCAATAAATTCGTTTTTAGAAGCCCAATCTAAAAGTAGTAATTTACGATTTACTACTTAGAAAGTAGTAATTTAGGAACCGAAGCCTTCTGAAAGTCTCAATCTTCAAGGCCAATCATCCACTCTCAATCTTCAAGGCCAATCGACAAACCCCAAGCACGAAGCATCGTTAGTCGCTACTTCTCTGCTGGTGTGCCTCTGTCGCACAGTAGAAGAGGACCTGCAGTTTCTGCGTTCGTGCGTCGCACGGTTGAAGACGACCTGCAGTTGCTGCGTTCCAGCGTCGCAAGGTTGAAGATGACTTGCGCTTCTTCTCCAGCTTTTTATTTTATCGGTTATTTACTTAGCCTTCATGTCTCTATCCGACTTCTTATATTCCAGTATATTAATACTCCGTGTGTTTTATGTCCAATGACGCACTAAAGAGTATACCCACTAAAGTAGTTTAATTAATTAAGTTGTACACATAGCCGAATGATTTTTTATATACACACGCATACATAAACCTTTTTTTCATTTATTAATTGTTGGTATCAATTCTAGGTAATATATACAATTTAATTAGTAATATATCATACGTAGTATATAACATATAATAAATTACAAATTAAATACAGTTAAATACTTAAATACAATATAATGTTATATGTAAATATATATAATTGTATATATGAAATATAATATTTTATACAATGTGCGACTAGTCGCCTAATTATCGCCTAGGCGATATGGCGGTCGGCTGGCGCCCCGACTCGCCTTACCGTCGTGACAAGTATGATATATAATATAATAATATGTATAATATATTATATACCGAGTATAATTGTCCGTATATTACTCTTACATCTTCTTTGGGTCCAAGATGCTGAAGTTGTTTAGGCCCTGATGCCAAGGCTTAATATTGATTGTTGACAGAAATCGCCCCGAGGTCCTGATGGCTGATGCCATTGCCTAGAATTCTGGCAGATTTAGTCTAGCTCAAATATGGATTATTAAATTGATTATTTTTGTCATGTGATGTGATACTTTTTGGTTTTTCAGTTTGACGATCACTTTTGCATTTTAGTTTGAATTGGATGTTACTTTTCTTTAATATAGTTTGACTATTAGTTTCATATTTCAATTTGATCACACAATATCAGTTTAATATAATCTTGCAAGTTCTTCCCTTCAATTTTTGTAGAGTTATTTATAAATGTTAAAATCTAAAGTTTTTTATATTTCATGGGGGTTATTTAGTTATTTAAGAACCGTACCGAACGTACCAGACCGTACCGAAAATTGGTACGGAACGGGACAGGTTCTACATATACGCGGGACGGTACCGGTTCTTGATTTTTAAAAGAACCGTACTTTGGGACGGGACAGGTTTTTCGAAATAACTGTCCCGTACCGTCCCATGCTCACCCCTACCGAAAATGTTTATCAACAAACATCCAAATAACATTATTGAGCTTTATGATATTCTTTATTTTCCTCGACACTATTCCCTTCCAATTTCTCTTAAGCTGTATTCCTAATTTCTTTCCTTAATATTTTCTGGGATCCAAACGGACCCCGTAGGCGGAGTTGCTTTCCTAGCTGGCACAGCCCTCGGTGGCGTGGCCTTGAATATTTACATGCTGATTCTCGGCAGAGTTTTGCTTGGCATAGGAGTTGGTTTTGCCAATCAGGCAGTTCCATTGTATCTATCAGAAATGGCACCAGCCAAGTACAGAGGACGAATCAACAATGGCTTCCAGCTGAGTGTAGGCATTGGGGTCTTAATTGCAAGCCTCATTAATTATGGGACTGAAAAGATCAGAGAAGGTTGGGGATGGAGAATCTCTCTATCACTAGCTTCAGTTCCTGCATTTTCCCTAACATTAAGTGGCCTTTTCCTCCCAGAAACACCCAACAGTCTAATTCATCGATTCCATGATCATGAGAAAGCCAACAAGATGCTGAAGAGAATAAGAGGCACAAATGACGTCCAGGCAGAGTTGGATGATCTCATTGCAGCTAGCGAGCTTTCAAAAACAGTAAAAAACCCCTTCATGAACATCACACAGAGAAGATATAGGCCTCATTTAATAATGTCAATCATGATCCCTTTCTTCCAACAAGTGACCGGTATAAATGTGGTAGCTTTCTATGCTCCAGTCCTGTTTAGGATAATTGGCTTAGGTGAAAGTGCTTCACTCATGTCATCGGTTGTGATCGGGGCAGTTGGAATGGCCACAACTTTTGCTTCAATGCTGATTGTCGACAAACTTGGGAGAAGACGGCTTTTGATCATCGGGGGAATAGTAATGTTTTTCACACAAATGACTGTAGGGGGGTAGTTATGGGTGCTAAGTTGGGGAACCACGGAGGTGTAAGCAAAGACTGGGCAGTTGTGGTTTTGTTACTAATATGCGGTTATGTTGCAGGGTTTGGGTTGTCATGGGGGCCTTTGGGATGGCTGATTCCAAGTGAGATCTTTCCACTGGAGATCAGATCAGCTGGACAAAGCATCACGGTGGCTGTGAGCTTTCTATTCACCTTCTTGGTTGGTCAAAACCTGTTGACAATGCTTTGCCACTTCAAGTGTGGGATTTTCTTCTTCTTTGGTGGGTGGGTTGCTGTTATGACTGCCTTTGTGTACTTCTTGTTGCCTGAGACAAAAAGTATACCTATTGAGAAAATGGATAGGGTTTGGAGAGGGCACTGGTTCTGGAAGAAATTTGTTGAAGAGGTCCTGTAGTACTAAATTACTATTACTCTGGAGAATTGTATATATGAGAATCTATGCCTTTTGGCTGTTCTTGTTTGCTCTTTGCCTATTTATTCTACTAGTAAATGTCAAAGAAAAATATATGCATCTATTGTAATTTATATAGAAATTGCTCTAAATAGGAGCAAAAACGTTTTGAAATTCCAAAATAAGAGTATCATGTTTTTTATTCCCTAAATTAGGGAATTCACCCTAATTTATACCGTTCCTCAAAGGTCGCTTTTGAAACCTTTGTTTTGTTTTCAGTTAGTGGTCGTTTTACACTTTTACCCTTTCACATTTGGTCCGTCTCATTAAATTTGTCTCATATCACATTTGATAATATTTCAATGGTTACGGTTCATTTTTACTTTATTTACACTTTGTTAATTCAATACCTATCACATAATTCCACTTTTCTTAAAAACCATACTACACCCTCTTGTTCTAATCTTAGGGGGCCAAAGTAGTTGATAGTATTGTGCTCGAATTCGCTAGAAAGCTATTTAGGGGGTGTTTGGATTTGATTCTTAAAACTGCTTCTGCTCCTTCAGGGAGCAGAAGCAGAAATTGGAGTGTTTGGGTAAAAGTGCAGAAGTGATTCTGGTGCTCTAATTTACTCCTAGAATCAGTTTTTTTAGAAGTTGGGGGTGACCAGCTTCTGAAAACGGATTCTGATTCTGCCTCTCCTTAAAAAAGAAGCAGAATCAGAATCGGTTCCAAACACCCCCTTAATAAGTACTTTATCTAATAATTTTTTAGTTTATTTATTTAGCAATTTCTTAGTACTTCTGCCAACCAATCAATGGTGCCACAAAATTGTATTAAAGAAAAACATTAGCAAAAAGTGAAAGTGTAGCACATCCAAATTTGCAAATAAAAGAATATGAGAGGAATATAAAAGAAAGAACATACGAAATTTCATGAAAAAGTCAAGAGGAACAATTCGTGTCTTCAAATTTGCAAATACTCAAAAAATGTAATAGAACTAAGGAAAAATATAGCAAAATGATGGTGATACATCATATAGATAACATCTTCATTAAATTCACGTGGAAACATAAAAAGAATATCATTAAATTGTTGAATATAATAAAAAAAACTCATCATACTTCTTTTTCTTTGTTATAGGTTGAATATTAGTTTTAATTCATAATTACAATGTAAGAGCTAAAATTTAAAACATACGTAATATTTATTAAGTTGTAAACTACACAAATATGATATAACAAATAGTCATTTACAATGCTATATACGAAGTTAATAGTCATTAATTATTTTTAAAACTTTACCATTCTTTCAATCTATACCAAAATATAATATAAATTATCTAAAAGAACGATTAAAATATTTGTATACACACACCTTTAGTCATTTTATGAACGATTGAAGGTATACTCGGGCTATAAAAATGTTGATCTCAACAAGAGATTTATTGTGATTGAAAAAAATATAAAATCTCAAATGTGTAACTGAGCTGGTCCGATATTATTATTCTCAAATCTAGAGCTAGTCTCTTACCCGTTCCAAATTAGAGCTTTCAATCTGAGATAAAAAATCTATAAAACAACTTAAATACCTGATATTCATTTTGGTACCATCACACGACAAGCATATCATATCCCACGCAATGTGAGCGTTGACATTTACTAAGGGGTTTTGGAATTGATTGTACTTCTATTTTTTAAAGCAAAAGTAAAATCATAATCATTTTTTTAGAAATTAGTAGGCTTGGGACTTGGAACTGAATATCGGGAAAACCGATCCGAACCGAACATAACTTTCCGATTTGGTTCGGTTCCTGTAAATTTGGACTTTTGTTTTTTCGGTTCGGTTCCTATAATATTTGATCTGTTCGTTTCCAGTTTGGTTCTGATTCCTTTGCAGGAACCAAACTTCTTATACATTGCATGAGTAATCTTTTTTGAAGTGCTTCTAGGTAAAATTTTTTGATGAAACTTTGTGAGATTGTTTTTCATGAAGTATATATTATATCCACCAAATTTCAATTTAAAATTCAATCAGAAAGTCGGTTAAATAAATTATTGGAAACAATTACACCAATATATATATGAATGCAATGTTTTTCAATAATTTATTTAACTCACTCCCAGTTAAATTTTAAGATGAAATTTGGTGGATATAATTGGAATTTCATATAGAACATGCTCACAAAATCTCATCAAAAAATTCTTTCTGGAAGCATCTCAAATGGAGATGGCCAGACATCATTTCGGTCAGGAAATTCTTGTCAGGAATATTTGTCATGCATAATATACCTCATATATTATGGACGGAGCCAATCCGAGTAGTTATTTTATTACTCTAGTCCACTTTTTTTATTTATTTTTTTGTTTGTAGTTGTAAATGTTTTTTGAGTTCACCTCAAAAAGGGATTAATGTTGTTGTTGATTACATTGTTATTTGTTCATAGTAAATTAGTAGAATTACTGGTTAATTTATTACTATGTACGGAGTACTTTTTACTTATGGTCCAATAATTGTATGCGGATACTATTTTGGGGTTGAACTATCTGCTATTGGATGTGTACCTTGGAGTTATTAAACCTTTTTGCTTGACAATTGATGTATATTTTAAACCTTTATATTTTTGGTGTGTTTAAATTTAATGTTTGTACTTGGATATTTTTGTGATATTTGAACATTGGAATATCACATATGTATAATGTAATGATCATAAATTCGATAATTATTTTCATGATTTGAAACTTGATTTTTTATGTAACTGAAAGTAAAATGTGTTCATTTTAGAAGGATAATAAATTTTTATAAGGAACCGAAAACATGTAAGAACCAAAGTGAATTTAACTAGAACCAAACCAAATTTAACTATATTTTTACCAGAACTGAATCAAATTTAAGGCCTACAATTTTTAATATGATTTTCCTCGAATTTTAACCGGAACCGAACTTTGAGCACTTTCTAAAATCAGAATCATTTCTAAAATCAGTCTCCGATAATTTCTAAAATCAGAATCATTTTTGGGCAATTCTAAGCAATAAAATGCTATTGTTACACACTGTCCATACACACACATACACACTATAAATACTCCCAAAAAAATTACCCATTTTCCCTCACCTCCCTCTCACTTGCGGTAGTTCAAAAAAAACCCCAATCCCAAATTCGCACACCCCCCTTCGCAAACCGGCTTGCTCTGTGAACACTTCTCCGCCGATAGAGAAGCCACCTTTCCCCACTCAGCGTAAACGAGTAAGCCCCCTTTCTCTGTTCAATTTATCAATCTGACATCTTCCTCTTTCAATTGAATAGCTTCTTGTAGGTTTTCATATTCCGAACAATCTCTTTATTTCTAGCCGCTCCAGCTCTAGGATTTCTTCATCAGCAGTAATTTTTCACCTAGTTTACGTGACTTATGTTTTAGTACTTTATATTGTATTTTAAGATTTCTTTATATATGCGAAGTTGTGTTTAAATTGTTTCTTAATGTTTATTTTGATTCATAAGCCGAAATTATTGTTAGACTGGAAATTTTAATTTTCTGAATAACGGATTGTTTGAATAAGCCCTCACTTTTATTTAAAAGTCTAGTAAAATTGCAGTTGGTTTGTCTGAATAACAAATTGGCATCTCCTCTCGTTGAAACAAACCTGCAGGTCTGGTTGCTCCTTTATGCACCTTGAATATCTCAAATGGTATGATGTGATGTCGAGAATCATTTCCTTTTACTCAATTTACTCTTTTATTGTAATTTTTTTCCATTTTGATAGCAAAACAGAGTACCACCCAGAATTACGTAGCTTGAATCTCTCAAATTGTTTTACTAGTCAGTATATTTTTTAGTCTAATCTATGAGTAGTAAATTGATAATATAGCTGTGAACTGTCCACGCTTGTTAAATCCAGACATCAAATACTTGTATAATTTCCAGGCTTGTTTAACTATACAAAGAAAACAAAATGGCAAGTAGTTAAAAATGTACACTTTACTTGAACAATCTTCTAAGTCAATGACTGTAGCAAGCAGAATATTTGAATTTCTCTTCCATTCTTAGATACAACTTAATTTCTAATATAGTCATTAACCTGTCAGTCCATGTAATTTTGGACGGGATTTTCACTATGGGTCATCCGGAAACAGTCTGTCTGTGCTTTAGTACATGGGTAGATGATTACCTAGTGCATAAGAGGCCTGCAGTGGCATGGTGATGTTTTTAAGGATGCTTTAAAAATAGTCACTTTTGTAGCATTGACACCATTATTTTTTATAAACTTTTCACTCTTTGATTTGCAGTATTTTTTTCTTTGCAGTGCATAACAGGTCTGTAATGGCGTGATATTGTTTGCTTTCAAAACTTAATATCACTGATTAACTGTTTTTGTCTTTGATTTGCGGTATGTTTTGCATCACTCTTCCTCAAATGCATTGGTTAGTGGTTACACGCCATCCTATGTAGGTAGCATCTCCTCATTTCCATCTTCTCTCTGTGTCTTTTTCTTTTATTCTAATTCATGTTCAAGCCAGGGCAACCATGGTTTGGAATTCAAGCTCATGCTGGTTTACCTATAACTGATGACGATAATGATCCAGCATTTCCTAATTTTAACCATATTATTGATGAATGGACAACACATGTAAGAGTTGGGGCAGATAATGAGAACCTGGAGTCAGTCTCTGAGGATGTAAATGACCTTCTATTTTCAGCAATTGTCCCTGATAACTGAGCTTGTATTTCATGTGGTTTGAGCTAGTATGGATGGAGAGGTGACACCCCATTTTCTGGTTTGGATCTTAATGCAGAAAAGAAGTCATTTCATCTTTATTATGTATAGCCTGGTCATGCCATTTCTAATATGAAACAACATTTATTTGTGAAATCTTGCTTGAATATTATATTAAGTATGCCAGAAAATATCGGCGGTGGTGATTTGGACGTTGTTATTGTTCTGCCAGGCCACCTCCTACCACAGAAGAAAGTGAAGGCTCTGAAGAAAGTATATAAAATCATATGGACATGAGACAATTTAGTGATTAGAAGTTAAAGCATTCTTGTATTGTAACTTTTGCCATTTGCGGATCTGGTGATTATTTTGGCTCACATGTATTGTATAGTTGTTTAAGTTTATGAATTCTATTTAGATTTCTTGATGTAATTTGATATACTTTTAGAAGTATGTAATGAAGGCAAAGTGTACTTTTGTATTCATTGAAAAATTAAATTGTTAATCTTATACTCATTTTGGTGACTTGTTATATGTAATTTGCAATATAATGAACATTATTAGATTTGGAAAAAACGGATAAAGCTTTTTTGTCTGTGATTTGTATCCACTTTGTACACTATAATATCTGTCACAAACACATTGCGTGTCTGTGAAGAACAAAAACTCTGTCTGTGATGTGTGGCGTATTTGTCTGTGCTATGTACACTATAATATCCGTCACAAACACATTGTGTGTCTGTGAAGAACAAACACTCTATCTGTGATGTGTGGCGTATTTGTTTGTGCTATGTATCTGCTAGAACTTAGTTTGAATAAAAGACTTTTTGAGAAAAAACATTTTAAAAAATTGTTAAAGTACACTATGATATCTGTCACAAACACATTGTGTGTCTGTGAAGCAGAAAAACTCTGTCTGTGAGGTGTGGCATATTTGTATGTGCTATGTACACTACAATATCTGTCAGAAACACATTGTGTGTCTGTGAAGAACAAACACTCTATCTGTGATGTGTGGCGTATATGTCTGTGCAAAGTACACTATAATATCCGTCACAAACACATTGTGTGTCTGTGAAGAACAAACATTCTATCTGTGATGTGTGGCGTATTTGTCTGTGCTATGTATTTGCTAGGACTTAGTTTGAATAAAAGACTTTTTGAGAAAAAACATTTTAAAAAAATGTTAAAGTACACTATAATATCTGTCACAAACACATTGCGTGTCTGTGAAGCAGAAAAACTCTGTCTGTGAGGTGTGTTGTATTTGTCTGTGCTATGTACACTATAATATCTGTCACAAACACATTGTGTGTCTGTGAAGAACAAACACTCTGTCTGTGATGTGTGGCGTATATATCTGTGCTATGTATCTGCTTTTGTATAGTTTGAATAAAAGACTTTTTGAGGAAAAAGACATTTTAAAGACTGCCATGCACATTTACATCAAAATAAGATTTAAATCTAAACCACTACAAAAACAAAAAAATCTAAATCACTACAATTCATCATGTCATTACGTCCCCCTGTCCATTGCCATGCTGAGAGGTCGGTTGTGGGGTACTTGCATTGTCGGTCCTAGCACTTGATTTTTCTTCCCCTACTCCAATGGTCTTTTTTGGCAGTTTTTGTGTTAGATTGCCATTTTTGTGTTGTAAACGCTTCCCATTTTTGTGTTTGGTGGCACTCTGAGTTCTGCCACCAGCCAAACTGTGCAGCTTGACCTCACATGCAGCTACCTCCATGTTTTAAAAGCATCACCTTGCTTTGCGGATGAACCTAAAAATGCTTTAACAATCCAGTAGTTATTGGCATCATCCATCAAGGAAAACCAGTTACAACAATTGGAGAATGAAGCATAAAAACATATTAGCAAAAAGGAGAATGAACTCACAAAATTGTGTATATGAATAAATAAAATCACTAAAATATTTCAAAAAACACCTTATGAGTATAAAAGTGAAATAGAAAAGTTTAACAAAAAATTAAATTATTGACATCACAAATCTCTACGAATATAACAAAAAATATGAATAACATTTAAAATCCATCAACAATAAAACATATTAGCAAAAAAGGGGAATGAACTCACAAAATCATATATATGAATAAATAAAATCATTGAAACATTTCAACAAACACCTTATGAGCATAAAAGTGAAATAGAATAGTTGAACAAAAATTTATATATTTACATCACAAATCTATAAGGATATAGCAAAGTAAATAAGCATTCAACAATATAACAAATATTATAAACATAAAGATGAAAAAACAGAAACAATTGTGACCCTAAATGCACAAAAAATGGAATAAATACCTCACATGAACAAGAAGGTTTTGGGAGAAGAAAAGCACATTCACAATGGGAACAGTAGCCACTCGTAAATCTCTATGCCAGTTGAAATCTTCAGAATTTGAGAGAGTTCTTTATAATGAAGAAAAGAGAAAGAAAGGGGAGAAAAGAAAGAGATGGAAGGGAAGGGGCGTAGGAGGAGAGGGAGAGAAAAGGGTAAAGTTAGTTGTGAAATGGTAAATGTAAAAATAGTATTTATAGTGTGTATTAGTGTGTAAAAGAAGTGTGTACGTACCTAAAGCATTTTTGTTCTAAGCAACTTTGAGCACTCAAATACCTTTGTCCTTCGCCCAAACACTCAGATATTCTCTCCTCCAAACACCACCCCTCAGTCGGGTTACCAGAGCACTGGAGCAGAAACTCTTTTCTGGAAGTTCACTTACTCACTGAGACTGAAAGATTCCGAGGCCAATGACGAACATCGCCGGGATGATCGGAAATCACCTTCTCATCACTCAACACCTCCTCTTCACACTCTTCTGCATCTCGGTAATACATATTTCTATATGTTCATAGTATATATGCAAATCTCTCTACAGGCTACAGCTATATGTATATACATACGTGTGTGTGACTGTGTGTATAATATTTGGTCCTCTGAGTTATTGTTCTGCTGTTAGGTTTTCCTGAAAAATTTCTTGCAGGTAATTAAACAAAAAAATTGAATCTTTAGGTCTGTCTGCTGCCCGATTGTTTGAAATTTCATTTGGAATTTAAAATGGAAAATTAAAAGAAAGACCTTGTGAAATTTCTTTCCTATCCGTATTGCAAAAGAGAGATGTTTAGTGTTAAAGCTTGTTTCTTAGTGTGAGGAAGCAGTCCAGCTCAGCTGGTCACAGACTCACTCTTCCTTATGGGAGGTCCCGTATTCAATACTCAACGGAGTGAGTTTGATCCAGTTTACCCCAGCCCCCTTCCCACGACCCCCGGATAAAAAAAACTTGTTTGTTAGTGTTAGAGCTGCTTGAGGAAGATATAAAATTCTTGAAATAACTGAGTTGGTTGAAGTTGATGAAATTGTGGCCTGAATTGGCCAACAAGGTTGAAAGAATTCAAAAAAGTTAAAATATATATTTAATTAAACTAAATGAAATAATACCCATTTCATCCAAAAAGTTACTCATTCACTACTTTCTTTTCCATTACTTACCTATCACACCAACTTTTGCAATGAAATAAGTTAGTTTTTCATAGAAATCTGATTTGTAAAGCTCATAGCACAAAAAGAACATACAAAAGGGACACAAAATTTAGTCAGTCTGATGCAAACATACAAAAGGGACACAAAATTCAGTCAGTCTGATGCAATGGATTTAAGGTCACCTCCTCTATTGTATATTTGTATCTTTTACTTTGGTTGTTTGCTCATTTTCTCTGTGAATTGTATCTTTTACATAGGCAGTTGGAAGTGAGTTGGAGAAGTCACAACAGTACCCTTTAGTTGTAAGCACATGGCCTTTCGTAGAAGCTGTTAGGGCTGCCTGGAAGGCCGCTGATAGTGGTTTGTCAGCTATGGATGCAGTGGTGGAAGGCTGTTCCACTTGTGAGGAATTACGGTGTGATGGCACAGGTATTGGCCGTATTGCTCCAAATAATCCCATTTCTGTGGAAGCCGTTTCTTCTTCTTCTTCTTCTTCTTCTTCTTCTTCTAAGGATGTAATTATGCACACTCTAGTCCCAGTTTGAGGTTACCATACACTATTCATACCGTATTCACACAGTCAACTATGTTTTAATATATGATTTTATATAATAATTTTATTCCTATTCAAATTAATATTTGCGATTCAATAGAACTTTTTGTGTTGTTTTCTGAGTGCGTAGATTTAATTATTAATACTAATACATATATTATGATTATTATCAGAGAAGAGTTTAATAAACCGAACCGAGAACCTTGAAATGGTACAAAGGGTGTATAATATAGATAAATATATACCAAGTATACATTATGTGTGAATTAGTAGTTATTTTTTAGTTTCAGGGTTCTGAAAACAGGCTGAAGAAACCTGAAAATGTACTGCACTTGGAGATTTATTATTTAATCTTGTATCTCTTGTTCCAGCAATGGAGTTTATTAGGAAAATGTTAAGATTAAAAAAATCTCTTAGCAATACATCTTGTTTATCACACTCCAGGTGCCTATGTTTCAACAGTCTCAATGAATAATTATGTGACTTAGGATTTGCCTGATATTGTTATAAAACTTGTTTTCAAATAATGAGTCTTTCAGAATATCATTTCTATCCTCAGTTGGGCCTGGCGGAAGTCCAGATGAAAATGGAGAAACCACAATCGATGCTATGATCATGGATGGGGTAAAAATCATTACACTTTGTCTAGTTTATATGAGAAACTGAGAAGAGTGAAAGATTGGAATGAGGGAGAGGAAATATTGAAAGAATGGACAGATAGAGTAGTTTTTTGTATTGTTTGGTACTTTGGTATAAGAGATATAGGTCAGAAAGGAGTGTTATTTCTTAATAAAAAACTCACTTAAAGCTTTATTTTTTAATTATATTTACCTTATCAAGCGATATTCATATTTCGATTCATGTCATGTGATGTGACTAAATTGACAAAACACAACCCATATCATCACAAATTGAGGGTAAAAATCATTTATGCTTAGTTTGACGTAGACAAGAAATTGAGAAGAGCAAGATATAGGTAAGAGGGAGGAAATGGAGAGATAGAGTAGTTTTTGGGTATTGTTTGGTATAAGAGAAATTAGGTCAGAAAGAGAAGAGAAAGAAGTGATGTTACTACGTATTATTTTTAGAAGAGCAAAATCTCCTCAATTTAAAGAACTATATTTAGTTTACCATGAGAAGGCTAAAATGGATACAACAAAAAATGATCAACCTAGATCTTCATAAATTTGTGGGCTCCAGGATTCAACTTGGCCCCATGGATTTTTCTTTTCTTTTCCACCTTTCTTCTCTCCACTAAACAGAAGAAACTACTGCTTTCCTTCCATTTGCCATTTTCCCTAACTCCATCTACTTCTTACTTCTACTGCACCAAACATAGGGTTACTGCTTATATTTTGAAGTCCTTTATGATACAAGCAAAGAACAATAAAGAATTTCAATTTATTTTGTATATGCTAAGACATACACAGGTGACAATGGAAGTTGGAGCTGTTGGTGCTATGAGGTATGTGAAAGATGGAATAAAAGCTGCAAGGCTGGTGATGGAATATACCAACCACACTATGCTTGTCGGGGAGCAAGCTTCGGTCTTTGCCCTTTCCATGGGCCTTCCTGGGCCTACAAACCTAAGCTCAGCAGAATCAATAGAAAAATGGATGAAATGGAAAGAAAACAATTGCCAATCTAATTTTAGAAAAAATGTCTTCCCTGTGGACAACTGCGGCCCATACCATCCTAAGCATTCTCTCTACCAGGATGAGCATATATGCTCCACGAGGCCTACTCAATCAGGGTCATTTCATATAAACCGTAACAACCATGACACAATCTCTATGGCAGTTGTTGACAGAGTAAGTTTGAACTTCGTTTACACAAGAAACTTAATATGTTTTCATTATTCCAAATATAGCGGTTCTTCTTCAGGCCACTATATTTTTTCCATTCATCTTTCTAATTTGAATTGTTTACTACAGTGATGCTAAACAGAACCCATGTACAGAAATATGCCTATATGACCACTCTCTCCGAAAATACCACAATGTCACTACAGTCATTGCATTAAAGTGAACATTGGTGTTAAAAGTCATATTTCCGTTCATTATTTTTAATTATCCATATTTTTCTTTTTTTCCCTGTTATTAAAGTGAACATTGGTGTTAGAAGTATGTTCTCTTTTTTGCCCATCCAGGTTAGAAAAAAACAAAGTTACTCACCAACTAGTATGAACTGTAGACATAATATTTTTATTATTTTATTTTATAAGCCTTGAATATCCCCTTCTTCCTAGAAAATGTGGCATTTTTTTGCAGGAAATAAGAAATTTAGCCTCAGATTTCCACACTAAATTTGTCTTGATGAAACGTAAGTAGTATATTTCAAAAATTATGTGGAAAGTCCAGACTGGAGTTCTGTGCAACGTTAGTTTTTTCTTTTGAAATGGTAAACATAAAAAAGGACTATTAACTATAGCGGAAAATGATTTTTCCGCAATAAAAAATAATTTTTCATACTGCATACATGGAAACATATAAACCAAAATGTTAATACTATTTTTCTCGTCAAAGTTACTAAAATTGAAATTATTTTCCTCTTCAGGAAGGGCATATTGCTGTTGGAACCTCAACTAATGGGGCAACATTCAAGATTCCTGGAAGGTAATCATTCTCAGTACTAGTATTAAAACTCTCTTAACAGTCCTAGTTTATCTTTGTTACTCCATCAGTTTATATTTTATTTAACCTATGAAGAAAGTAAATGGATGAAGGGGTTCATACTGAGTGCAGGGTTGGTGATGGACCTATTGTTGGGTCTTCAGCATATGCTGACTCTGAAGTTGGAGCTTGTGGGGCAACTGGGGATGGTGACATCATGATGCGTTTCCTACCATGGTTTGTAGCTTACTTAATAACAGCCCTGAATTTGTTAAACTTGTTTAATTTCATTGTTACCATTGACCCTATCAATACCTAACTAGACCTATTATCAATGGGAAACCTAAGCTCCATTAGCCCCCCCCCCCCCACCCCGTCTGCCTGAACATTGGTTTATTAATTCCATGCCTTAAGCATTAAAGCATGTACATCACATTTCTGTCACGTCATAGGCATATTCCTATCACTTTATGAGAAGTGAGAACGTCTAGAAGCAAGGAACCATTGAATTTAAGGCATAACATAATGAGTAAAGTGTCAATTCGGTATTTAATTTTGTCTTCACTAAAGTAAAAAGTACATGGACTTGCATCAGAATCAATGTTCTAAAAGGCGTAAGGCGTGCCGAGGCAGCACGACCAAGCCTGAAGCCTTTGAAGCCTAGGCGGGTTTAGGCAAGGCCTAGGCGTGAAAAAGCGTATTCATTTTTTACTATTATTTCAATTTTTTATGTTATTATGTATGTATATGTAATATTACATAATATCATATACAAAAGATACACTTTTTATATGTTAAAATTCCACTAGTATTACTTATAGAAAAGTTGTGGACAAAAATGTGACTTGATAACTACTATCGTATTATTTACTATAATTGTGTTCAAAGTTACATCGCAGTGACTACACATGTAGTCACTGCGATGTAAGCTTGAACACAATTATAATCAGTAATAATTACCAAATTACATTTTCGTTCATGATTTTTTTATTGGTAATATTTTTAGGAAAAATTCCTTTACATATTTTCATAGAATAAATTCTTCAAAAGCACAAATAATAGGTTTACATATTTACTTACTATACAAAAAACACGAATTAAAGAAGTTGGTTGATAAAATTATACTCCGTAATAAGTTATAATAATTACTCCCTCCGTCCCATTTAAACGTTCCCACACGGTCTAGGACGTTTGATTGGCCATAAAGTTAACTGATCTCTGTCATTATTTTTAGTAAATAAAATTTACATATTCAGAAACTACATTAAAACCGCTACAAAGCCTGATCAAGAATATTTAAATTTGATAAAAGTTGGATATATAAAGTAAAAGATTAAGAACAATGCACATTGACCGGAGAATAATGGACGAGAACCATTAAATGGGACGGAGGGAGTATAATAAAGAAGATTGCCTGAATTAGGATATAGTTTAATAAATTTTAAATATTATATACGGAGTTGGCAATGCAATGGAGCAATCTAACTTTAGTCTGCATTATATATGGAGTACTTGGAATTCAAAGTTCCCACACCGGACAAATTAGTATACCCCCTCCTTCCAAAAACTCTGTATAAGAGATATGCCATGCTCGGCTGATAGTAACGTGTTGCGATGGCAACTAAAATCCATACCTAGGTAATATAGACGCCTTTCTCCACGCCTTTTGAGTAGGCGAGGCGTTTTGCCAGCGCCAGCGCATCAAGCCTAGGCTCGCCTAGGCAACACTTTTCTAAGCCTTTTAGAACATTGATCAGAATTCATAAAGCTCTTCAACTTGTCCCTAGTGAAATTAAAAGTACACTAACTTGCAGCAGAGTCCATAAAGTACTTTAAATTATATTCACAGTGGAATTATAGTACATTCGTCAAATATAGATGGAAACTTAGAAAAAAATGATTCAATGATAATGTTAAGTTTTAGTTTAAACTAGTTAAAAAATGAAAATGGTTAAAAATATGAATCGTTAAATCCTCTCATATTTTTTTAACATTTTTTTATTTTTAATTAGTTTAAACTAAAAGATATCAAATCGTTAAATTATTATTCTTAAGTTGTCCTATATTTGACAGATGTACCACAATTCCACATTGAAAACAAGTTGAAGTACTTTCATAACTCTATTGCAAGTTAGGGGGTGTTTGGAGTTGATTCTTCTTTTTCTTTTTTAAAAGCCGAAGTAGAATCAGAATCAATTTTCAGAAGTTGGTCTCCCTCAACTTCTAAAAAACTGTTTCTTGGAGCATTTTAGAGCACTAAGAAGTACTTCTGTCCGTTCACCCAAACACTCCAATATCTGTTTCCGCTCCCTGATGGAGCATAAGCAGTTGTAATGTACTCTTTATTCCGTCAAAGACAAGTTGAAGTACTCTATGAGCTCCGTTGCAAATTCATGTACTCTTTACTCCAACGGAGACAAACTCAAATATCTATTTGGCACTTTACTTTTAACATGATTGATGTGAGTATATACAAAAGGGCTCAAAGGGTTTAGAGCCTGTTGGGTAAACCTTTTTATCAGCCTTGTCTGCATAAATTTTATCAAACATAAACTTATTTCACAGCTATGACATATTTCGGCTAATAATATTGAAAAATAGTGCACGATTTTTGTTGTTGTTGCTGAAATAGCCAAGTAAAAATAAATTTACATTTCTATCATCATGTTAGATATTATTTCTTTGATTTTATTGAGATGCACTTATTGCACTCCCATATCTTCTAAATACACTTATTTTTGGTAATCCGGTAAATTTAGCAAATTCAGCAATTTCAACTACAACTTCAGCCACTTCAACCATTCTAGTCAATGTTGGACATGGAACACTCAAAATGTTACCATGCATGTATGTGAATAAGTAAATGCGTATATTTGTTTCTTCCCATCAACAGCTATCAAGTTGTGGAAAGTATGAGATTAGGCATGGAACCCAAAGTTGCTGCTCAAGACGCAATATCACGTATAGCAAGAAAATTCCCAGGCTTCATGGGGGCAGTGTTTGCTGTCAACAAGAATGGTGTTCATGCAGGTGCATGCTATGGATGGACGTTTCAGTACTCGGTGATGAAACCTGGAATGGACAATGTTCTTGTCTTCACCGTTCACCCTGAAACCATGATTGTGTGACGAAGATGCCCCCAAGTCCCCAACTTCCCTTTTCAAGTATGCAATGTGGAATTCGTTGCAGTTCCTTTGTTGTAATATTAATTTGCTAGACTAGAAGAATTCCTCAATTCATATCAACAGAAACTAAAAACGATGTTGTTTAGAAGTTAATATTTTTCTTGAAAGGGCTGAAAGCCTGAAAGGAAGATAAATGGCATATGGATTATTTTTATACGAAGTATATTACTCCGTATTTTTATTTCATCATCCTCATTACCTCAATGCCGCGGTGCATGAATTGATGTTAAGGGGGATTGGATGTATGCAGTGGTGACAGTCTTACTATTAGGGTTGGACGGGGTCCGGACCGGGCTGGGACGGGACTGGGCGGGATTGGGTATTTGGGTTGCAGGCCCGGTACCGGCCTGGGTTTGTACCGGGTCGGGTCAAGGTTTTTTAAAAAAAAATTATTTAAAATGGAAAAAATAGGCTTGGATTGGTTCCGGACCGGCCGGGCCGGTCACCTATATTCTAGACTCGTAGCCCGCCCTCCCCTATTCTTGGTTTGGGCCTAAACAGTGGCGGGATTGGGTCAGGCTCGGGTTGACCTGTCCCAGTTAGGCATGGACTCAGGCCGGTTCGGGCCGGGCATGATTGGGCTTTTTTGGAATCTTGAGGCCCGGAATTGGCCTGGGTAGCTACCGGCCCCGGTTCGGGCCAGGCCACTGGCGGGTACCGGGTTGGGTCGGGTACCCTATTTTTTTTTATAATAACTTCCTACCCTCCCACGGTCCCACCCCCCTCCCCACACCCCAAACCCTCCAAAACACACCCCAACCCATTTACCTTTTAAAAATTTTGAAAAAAAATTAAATTTGGTCCAGAACAGACACGAACAGTTCGGGCCGGTTCGTGATTTGGGAGGCCCGGGAACCGCCCCTTTACAGTGCCGGGATGGGTGGCCCGAACTGGGCACATGAACCGGGTACCGGGCCAGGTCGTAACAGTGCCGGTTCGGACCGGTTACCACTTACTAGGGACGAACCTATGCTATCACCTAGGGGGGCCATTGCCCCCCCCCCCCCCCCCAACTTTTTATTTACCTAGTAATATTAGTTATTATTTTTTTTGCCCCTCTCAAACCTTTTGTTTTGGACTATTATATTACGTAGTAGTTCCGTACTTTCGTATGGTGTAAAATGACATTTTTTTTAGAGAAATTGTCATTTTTACGGAGAAAAATTGCATTTTTTTTAGAGAAAAAGACATTTTTTACACCCTGACCCCCTCAATGATATCCTGGCTCCGTTAACCCGACCCGAGTCCATCCATAGTCCCCATCTATCCGTAATCCCTGTACTAAAGTATAAAGAGACTGTTTCCGAATGACCCATGATGAAAGTCGTGTCGAAAAGTGCATGAACTGGTGCTGTTTCATAACAAAGAAGCGTAAGCAATCTATTGAGTCATTTTACTTTATTCCATTATATTTTCAAAGGTAAAAGGGTCAAATAGGCCCTCGAACTTACATAAAAAGCTCAAATAAGCCATTATATAGGAGGCTTTGTCCGGTCGTCACCATTTGGGGCAATTCTCGGTGGATTTTTTTGATGAAATTTTTTGAGCATCTTACTCATTAAGTCTAGTTTACTCATACCAAACTTCAGCTCACAATTCAATCAGAAAGACATTCAAATGAATTTTTGAAGATAACTGCGCTTTTAACTGCGAAGTTATCTTCAAGAATTAATTTCAATGCCTTCCCGATTGAATTTTCAGCTGGAATTTGGTATGAGTAAACTAGACTTAATGAATAAGATGTTCAAAAATTGTCATCAAAAAATTCCACCGAGAACTGCCCCAAATGACAACGACCGATCAGAGCCTCCCATATAAGGGCTTATTTGACCTTTTTATGTAAGTTCGAGGGCCTATCTGACCATTTTCCCTATTTTCAAATCAAAAGAATGCATGTTTAGATAATTCAAACTATGGTTGGACTCGGGCCGGGCCTAGGCCTGGTCGGGCCGGCGGTTCTATATAGCTGGACCCGGGACCGGCCCGGGTAGCCACCGGGTCCGGTCCGGGCTGGGCCGGGCCTCGGGTTTGGTTATTATTATTATTATTATTATTTTGCTTAGCTACCCATCCCTGACCCCCCCTCACCCCCCCCCCCCCCCCACCCCCCAAACCCCCCAAACCCCTCCTAAACATCAAGCCCAACCCGGTGGAGCCCAAACAAATGAAAAAAACCAAAAAAAAATAAATAAATTTGGCCCGAACCGGGCCCAGTCCCGGCCGGACCGGGCCTTGTTATGGGTGACCCGAGCCCGGACCGGAAACCCACCGGATCGGGCCTACCCGGACCGGTCACTGACCGGGCCACCGGTTCGGGCCGGAACAGTCCCATCAAAATCCCCAAATACAGCTCATACTGCTCATTTGATCAGTTTACTTGAAGGTATTTTACTAAGAGCGCGTGTATAAAGAGTGAGAAAACAGAAGCTAAGGCAGATATATTAATGTTCAGTCTTTTATTAGAGAGAAAAACAAGTTCAAGCACGTGCATCTTTTTGTAATACGTAAGCTTTTAATAGACAGATGCGACCTGTGAAAGTGCCAGCCATCCAGTCGCAAAACCAACCACCAGCCATACATTTTCATGACATTGCCGGAAGAAAAAATAAAGACAAATTTCTGGATATTGAATGCACCAGCTCATTTTCTAGCAATAATGAAAGTGTAATGTGAAGATATTAGTACTCAAGTCTGAAATAGCATAATGTATACAGTCAGTTCTACTACACCTCTGATAAGTTTGACTAATAGATCAAACTATAGTCAACAACTACATGTTTGGCTAAAAGGATCCATTTGACAGCATATGCACCAACTCTGCAACCTAAGATGGCTCTTTCTTGGAGAAATCGGTTTTATCTTCTTCCTTCCTGACATATTCTTTTGAAAGAAAAAACTCATCTTGACAATATTTAGGCCTCCGTTATAATAAATCCATGAAATCTAGTGTTAAACACTTGTCTCATCTGAAATCATCTAACACCACAAATCCATGTAAAAATAACACACTGGAAAATTTTACGTTGGATGCCCTTCATGAAATGGCATTTCAAGATCACTCCCCAGGAGCATAGTATATACTACGTATATCCTAAAATGTTAGTGTAGTCAACGTCTTTATGTTGTGTCCTTCATAACCTTTGAATGTCTTCAAGCCTAGTAAGGACCTCTTTAGCATTAGGTCTAATTGAAGGAGATGGAGAGCAACAATCCATAGCTAATCGAAGCAACTCCACGATACGGTCCTCCTTTTGGTCAAGGAAAACCATTGGATGGAACAACTCGGTAATCCGATCCTCAATTATGGCACTCTTGACCACATTTGGCAAACCGGGATATGAAGTGTATTCATCAACCAGTTCCTTCCCTGTAAGCAGTTCTAACAAGATCACTCCGAAGCTATATATATCACTCTCTTCGCTAGCATCTTTGATTTTGATCACTTCAGGAGCTTTGTACCCCTCATCTGCGGCAATGTCAAGCATTTCTTGTCCAGCCATTGGGGTCAGAAGTAAATGGAGACCGAAATCTGACACATGTGGCTGGAAAAGGCTGTCCAGAAATATGTTTTTGGCCTTCAAGTTTGCATGGACTATGGGGGTTTCAAAGGAGGTGTGGAGATAATCTAAAGCTCTGGCAACTCCCATGGAGATTTTACATATGATCGGCCATCTGTGCACCTCACCATTGCCATCTGTTTCATTGAAAGGCCATAGACATTATTTACTCAGTTGTATGTACTAAACCATTAGAATGTGCACTTGTTCAAACTTCAAATGATAAAAATGGCTAGCTTATACTCTTTATTGGACAACGCCTCATCACAAAGTCAACCTAGTAGGAGCAACACAATTCTTTAAATACATCAGTTTGTACTTTTATATATTTCAATACAGGATGACTTAGTAACGTATGCTTTGTTTGGGAGTCTCACATAGATAGTAATTAGCGTAATGAGAATACCATGTTCCTTTGGACTAACTTATTAGGCTTAAATATAAGTTAAGATGCTTTTCTTTTCCGAAAAATCAGTAGATTCAACAATTTCAACTAAATAACTCTTACCAAGCAGGTCCTTAGTTATTAGCCTATTAGCTAGATGGGAATTTTATACATAATACTACGTACTTGTTAATCAAACACTAGACAGCTAATTTCTTCTAAATCCAGGAAAGCACTTTTGACAAACTCCTCTATCAAATCCAGAAGGAAAGAATAAAAGAATAACAAAGAAGTCACCAAGCTGAAGGACCTGTTTGACAAATTCAAAAAGCAAACTTCGTAGTCCATATATAATAAATAATGTAAACTAAAATACTCCGTATACTAGACGTACTAGACAAAGCCTAATACGACGCCGCAGGATGCCTAGAGGAGTCCAGTCAAGTGGACCCAGCATGGCTCAACTTCCCTACCGCCGGGAGGCGGCGACGCCGTGATAACAAAAGACTCATAAAGTTCTGATCAAAGATTCATATTTTACCTCTAATGAAATGAGAAAGATTGCCTTTGCGATAGAAGGAATGAACCAGCAGCTTTTCCTCTCTGGAGCCTGCATAGAATGCAAACAAGGGCACCAGATTAGGGTGCCTAATTGACCCCAAAAGCTCGATTATTGGAACCACTTCCTTGAGACCCAAAGTGCAAGCTGGCTTATAGAATCTCAACAGTGCTGATCTGCTGTTACTGGAGCTAAACAAAGCCGCCCTATACAATGTCCCGTAGCTTGACTTCCCTATCACCTCCCCAGGCGCATCAAGAATTTCAAGAACCGTTAGATCTTGCCCGCCCTCAAAGTTCATCAAAATCTCCTTACTCCCCACCACAGCCACCCCTCCTTCCTTTTCCTTAACCTCAAACCCAGATTCCGTGTCTCTCGGGACATCCTCTTTAGTCCCTCTCCTACAGCAGCAACAGAACACGAAACAAAGAAGCAAAGCTAAGAAGGAAAACGAGGCAAGCAATATGATTAGGATCAGCAGATGAGTGTGTCTCATTTTTTCATGTGTCTCTTTTTTTATATGTAGCAACGATTGAGTCTTTGGTAAGGGTTTTTTAAGAAACTGCAAAAAGGTCTCAAATCTGGATGTGTTTTGGAGCTAGAGGTACAAGATGATCAAATGAATTTATGGACTGACCGCATGGAGAAAGAAC